ATATGATATTAGTTTCTGCGCTGCACCCGTCGAGATATGCTTGCCACGGATCAAACGGAAATACCTTCGGTCAAACACGATCAAAACACTAGCCATAAGAGGGCCGAAATAGGGGACCATCCAATATAGCAGAAGGAGTGTACATACCATAATCCGGTGGAAACTTGCCAATGCCCCAGGGACGTGGGTCCATCAAGCGACGATCCCGTCGATGGCGGCCAACCAGGCAGTACCGTCGCTCGTCACGGACGAGAAACGAACAGCCGAAGCGGCCGATGAGAAACGAATAGGCAGGCGAACACGAACAGACGAAGGGTTTTGTGTTGGGCTTCCAGTGCAAATGTAATATTTTGCATAACCTCAGGGGTCGTTTTAAAGTTTTCTACTACCAACTCTCTATGAGGACCGCAGTTTCGCTTAGTGCTATACTTGGGAGCGTTTCTGCATAATATCAGACTTACCGGCGCGTGCTTCCTGTCTGACGTGGCAGGTTTCAGACTAAATTGCATCAATTTGTTCTCGCAGAGCAAGTTTAGGGGTTAATTTGAGTCGTTTTGCAAGTTCTTGTATGAAATTGTACCCCCGCTGCAAGTTTGTGTACTAAAACTGTAATTAACTCGATCTGAAATTGTTTGATGTGTATCATATAATTAACTCACAGATACTTGTGGTGACATTGGAGTATCTAGGTGACATTAGAGTTGGTTGGTGCATATCATATGGTGTTATTTTAGTACGAACTCTTGGATAGATCGAATGGAAAGAATAACTTTGTGTTATTTCAGTACGAACTCTTGAATAGATCAAACGAAAAGAATAACTTTAAGGTGGTTTCATACCCTACAAACAATTTATTCTTATGTTCTCCGCTAGATAAGAACTTTGGAGTGATTCTTCATCGCACGTTGATGGATGGTTATATGATCCAATTAGATTAGCATTGTTGAGAGATTGCACTAGCGAAAGTATGGAACCTAGGCCTCATTTTCAAGCATTGCAATACCATTTGTGCTCACTTTTATCGGTTGCTACCTTGCAATTTTTTTGTTCAGATTATGAAAATACATTTCTACCATCCATATTACACTTTTATCACCATCTCTTCGTCGAACTAGTGCACCTATACAATTTGCCATTGTATTGGGTGCGTTGGGGACACAAGAGACTCTTTGTTATTTTGTTGCAGGGTTGTTTGAGAGAGACCATCTTCATCCTATGCCTCCCACGGATTGATAAACCTTAGGTCATCCACTTGAGGGAAAATTGCTAATGTCCTACAAAACTCTACGCTTGGAGGCCCAACATGAGTCTACAAGAACAAGTTGTGTAGTAGACATCACGCCCTTGAGCATTGCGGCCGCCGGGCCGGCCAGACCGGCCAAGGTTTCCCCTGAACCCCAAGTACACCACTAGGGCTCACCACCATCGGAGCCGGCAGACGCAAGCCACCGAGATGTCGAGAGAGACAGTAGGACAAAGGGGAACCTCCAGATATAACGCAATAGAGCACCGCGCCGCGGCCGGACTCCACTAGCGACCCACCACCCGTGCGGCCGAGCACACTTGCCAGCGTCACCCATGGACGTTGCCAGCCGCCGGACGTCGCCGCCTTGCCGGCGGGGCCGCCGCCCCAAGGAACCGCAGCCTCTGGTGCGAGGCTCTGGTCTGAAGACCGTCGAGATCGATCCAAGCGCGGAGATTCCGGCCGCCACCTTCCCCGGTGCCCGCTCGGGCTTTCTCGGCGGCCGTCTCCGTGGCGGCGAGGAAGGAATGGTGATGGAGGGGTGGTGGCGTGGTGAAACCCTAATCGCCCCCGAGTCGCCCGAGGGATGACGCGAGGGCCGAGGGATCATCGCAGGCTTGTTGATTCGATCAGAAATGACGAAGAAGAGGCATCATGGCAGACCCAATGTAAGTGTTGTTTCTTCTGTCCTCGATTGATGTTTGTCCTTCAGCTAATGTTCTTGATCAAAGGCTGATTATTTGTTGTTCTAGCTAAATGCAACGCAGAAAGTAACTCGCAACCAAGACGTTGCTGCTAACAGAGATGGAGACATGCTTTTCAAGTTAAATGAACTTTTTTCAAAATCGGTGAACTTTTTTTCAAATCGATGAACTTTTTTCCAAAATTGATGAACTTTTTTCAAATTTGTGAACTATTTTCGGATTTAATGAACATTTTTCAAATTTGTGAACTATTTTTGGGTTTCATAAACTGTTTTCCAAATTCTATGAACTTTTTTTCAAAATCGGTGAACCTTGTTACAATTTTTTCTGAACTTTCTTAAAAACTGGTGAACCTTTTTTTCAAATTCAATGATTTGTTTTCAATTTTTTGAAGTTTTTTCAGAATTTTGATGAACTTTTCGCAATATATATATATATATATTTTTAATTTGAATTCTTCTTCTTTTGAATTATTGATTTCTTTCTCAAAAAGTTAAGGTTGACCCCTCAAGGGTTGACCGGTCAACCACAAATGATCGATCAGGGAAGCTGGGAAAGTGCTCGTCGGGAGCGATCTCTTCGGCTTGTTCTTGGGCCGGCCCACGTACGCAGGAGAGTGGGCGCTGGTTTGGTCTACCGGCGCATAAGGCGCCAGTGAGGAGGTCTCCTGCCCAATGACCTTCTGCTCAACATTCCGGATTTGATTTGAATTGGTATTCTACTACAATCCAGGCCTAACCCAACCAAACCTTGGTGGGCCAAATAAGATCCAATAAAAACCAGAAAAGTTAAGCCCGAAATTAAAAAAACTAAATGTTTTGATTAAGATGGCACCCCGCCAAAAACTACAGCAGATGCGCTCGCTGCCAAACAGGACAGGGCCATCCACCGAGGAGAGGAGCATAGAGGCTCGGATGGTGGAGTTATGCTTACGAGAGGAGATAATGTGGCATCAGAGGGCGCGTATCCAGTGGCTTGCGGAAGGCGATAGCAACACGAAGTTCTTTCACCGTAAAGCCAGCGCCCACAAGGCAAAGAACCGCATAGTCGAGCTGCAGCGTGCTGATGGTTCAATCTGCAAAGAGGAGCACGAGATGGCGGATATGGCAACAAATTTCTACAGAAATTTGTATGCTTTCGAGAATACGATAGGGATTTAGGAGGTGCTATCCCACATACCAACTAAGGTTGATGCAGCAATGAACATCACTCTTAATGCAGAGTATAGCAAAGCTGAGAAAAAACAGCTTTGTTCCAAATGTTTCCCACAAAGGCCCCTGGGCCGGCCGGCTTTACGGCACACTTTTTTCAGCGGCACTGGGAGCTGCGTGGTGATGAGGTTACTGCTATGGTGTTGCGAGTTCTGAATGGAGAGGATTCCCCGGAGAAGATAAACAAAACGTTCATCATTCTTATTCCAAAGATTGCTAGTCCAAAAAATTTAGCACAATTTCGACCGATCAACCTCTGTAATGTGATCTTCAAGATTGCGTCAAAGGTTTTGGCTAACCGGCTCAAGCTTATTCTCCCCGACATCATCTCAGAGGAATAGTCAGCATTTGTACCAGGACGTCTCATTACTGATAACTTTATCTCGGCATACGAGCGTCTGCATTATATGAAGAGAAAGAAGCTGAAGGGTAATATATTTTGTGCTCTAGAACTTGACATGCTGAAAGCATACGATAGACTTGAGTGGAATTATTTGGAGAGAGTTATGCTTAAGTTGGGGATCAACCCACGATTGACAGAGATAGTGATGAGGTGTGTCACCTCTGTTTCCTTCTCAGTCATCTTCAATGGAGGGAAGCAAGAGGAGTTTAGGCCCTCCCGAGGCCTAAGGCAGGGGGGCCCGATATCGCCATATCTGTTCTTATTGGCAGCTGAAGGCCTCTCCTGTTTGCTGAAATCCACACGGCCAAACGAGAGGATTCAGGGCATTACAGTGGCAGTCGGTGCACCCCAGGTAAATCATCTCCTTTTCGCAGATGACAGCCTTCTATTTTTTGATGCGACACCTGACATGGCAAACAGAGTGGATCTCCTACTGCATAAATATTGTGCCGCTTCTAGCAGCGTATCAACAAGGATAAATCCTCCATATTCTTCAGTAAGGGCTGCTCGGAAAGCTTGAGGCAGGAGGTTAAACAGATTCTTGCAGTCCAGGATGAGAAATTGTTGGACAAATATCTTGGCCTCCCGGCTGATGTGGGGAGATCGAAGGAGGGGTCTTTCAAATATCTAAAAGACAGAATTTGGAAGCAAGTCCAGGGCTGGATGGAAAAAACACTCTTAGTTGGAGGTAAGGAAGTGCTCATCAAATCTGTCGCTCAAGCAATTCCCACATATTCCATGGCATGTTTCAAACTTCCACGGGGTTTGTGTCAGCATATTAACGGTCTTTTGTGAAAGTTCTGGTGGGGATCGAAGAATGGTGAGAGGAAGACCGCCTGGGTCTCCTAGGAAGTGATGACACAACCCAAATTCATGGGATGTATGGGGTTTCGCGACATTGAGCTTTTTAACTTGGCCCTGCTTGCTCGACAAGCTTGGCGCCTTCTTTAGGAACCCAACTCCCTCAGTGCCAGGATACTGAAGGCCGTCTACTACCCCGCATCCTCAATTCTTGAAGCCGAGGTGGGCAAGAATCCGTCGCAGGTCTGGCGATCAATAGCCGAAGGGAGGGACACGCTTAAATTGGGCTCAGGAGAGGACACACACATATGAATCAACAACTGGATCCCACTGGTAACAAACATCAGAGGCCTCTCGTGCCTGTCAACTTGTTAAGCAATCATTTAAGCCAATAATACCATGAACACTCACATATCATAAAGAAAAAATAATCTCAAAGATACAACGTACCAACTTTTTACCAAAGGACCGTAAACCACCAACACGAGAACGGGTGCGATCGGCTTTCGCGAGCTTCTTAATTGTGTCGTAGTCATACGCCTTGCATCGTAGTGTCTGATGATGCAGCAGATTCTTCTCATGACCGAAATCCAAGTTATCCAGATAGAATATCTGCAAGTTGTTAGCAGTAAAACCAATCAGCAACCACTGCATCCCCAAAAACCAAGTGTAACGCCCTGCCTAGTGCCTACCTGTAAGAAAAGAATGCACCCAAACAGATTCTCCACGGGCTGCCCCTGAGCGAGAGCGGCCTGAACTTCGCGGGCAGAGTCCAGTATGACACGGATCACGTACTCGGACCAATCATACGTCTGAATCTCATCGGGACGCCGCAGGGCCATGAAGTAGTCCAGGGATACAGAGTCCACCTCCCTTGGAGCCAGCAGATTCTCCACCACGAAGACCACGAACGCGACCTTGAATGCAGCCCCGTCCTTCTCCGCCATTCCCCGACGGAATTTCTTCTTCAGTACATGCTTTGCAGCATGCAGGATTCTGAGTCTGCTGTCATCTCCTTCGTCCAAGCCGAGCGTGCCGCGCACGGTCGCCTTGGCCTCGTCGGAGACCAGCACCTGACCCTGATCCTTCTTGGGCACCGGGCGTCCTCCGGAAGGCACGCCGAACACTTTGCTGACGTCGTGTGGGTAGAACGGTATGCCGGCTACTTTGCCGGCTGCTGCAGGTTGAGCACCAGCGGCATCTCGTGCTACCTTGGTGAGGAGCCACAGGGAGAACCTGTGGCCGACCTTCCTGTGCAGTGGCAGCTCCAGCAGGCCCCCGAAACCGATTGACCGCACGAGCTGCTTCTTCTCGGGGGAGAAGCGGGAGATGACCTTGTGGACGGCCTTCGGGGAGCAAGGCGAGCTTAGTTTGGGATGGCTCCGACTCCGAGGCATCACTCACTGAACCAATGGGCTGTGTTATCCCCAAAATAAGAAACCAATCTGTGCTGCCTTGCGGAATGAAGAGCAAAATCAAGTGAGTTGGTACGCGATTATGATGCTCGTCTGCTAAGCTGGGTGCGTCTTGCACAAGATTGAAGCAAGATTTACAGTTTCTGACTGTAAATCCCAACTCAGTCGCTTGCAGATTATGCAAGAGAGGCTAGCTCAACTGGATGCCATAGGACAGAAAGCAGAGCACATAGCCAGTGGAACTCACCAGTGCACGCCGAGAAGGAGCAATGCCCACCGCCGATCGAGCGCCGCAGCCGTCAAGAAAGTCCGATGGGGCGAAGTGGGAGGGGGAGGGGGAGAGAGAGAGATAGGAGCAGTTCAAGGCACGCGGCGACAGTACGGCCAGCTCGGGGACTGACGAGGCATGGACGGACGGTGGCAGGCGAAGTACCGACGGAAGTGACAATTCATGGAGATGGAAAGCAGGGCCCACAAAGCCCTGAGAACACTGCCGAGGATGACTGAGGAAAGGGCAAGGAGGACACGACGCTATGCTCATCTTTTTTGACTTTTCTCGACCTGTTCATACTAGATCAGATCAGACCGATAATGTGAACGTTCACTTTTACTTTTTGAAAGGAGCAGTGTGTCATTCCGAAACCTACAAGTTCGGTGAAATCAGCATACGATCCATCACATATGGTGCGGGCGAGCAGCCACTGATTGAAACGATCGTATTGACAACATTTTCGTAAGCAAAGAGGCTCAACACACTCAAATTATGCGCTGTATCATTAGAGCATTTTAATTTTCTGAAAACTGAAAATCTATTAACTTATAGCCATCTAGCCTTTCCCATCAAGTTTTCTTTATACTAGCTAATTGTCTGTCCGTTGCAACGGGGCAGACAAATTTTAGTGACTCAATACCAATTATGAGTGCCTCGATAAAGAAATTGCGAGTGTCGTCAAAGCCATATTGCATATAGAATAGTCTTTTCATCTGTTTTCTACGGTGATCTTGCCGGTACATTCAAGTAGCATCCTTAGAGCAATTTCATGCCATCTGGTCTCATGTTGCAGGATTTCTACGACGAGTAAGAGTTACGATATAGGGTTACGTTCTACACTCAATTTGCAGATGGCGTTGATGGGACTCCACATCCGTTTGTTTGTTTCTATTGAGACTTATGAGGTATGTATCAGTTTTACGTTATTTATACATGTGATTGCACTTTGATATATACATTGATGTACTGTGTGTGCCAGCATACTGATTCAGGGATGGCACATATA